TCGCGTCAAAGTGGTTGCGTCCATCTGCCGTGTTGCTGTCCCAAGCTGCTAGAAACCATGCTCTCATAATGAAAATGGAAGTTGGTATATGCGAATGTAATCCCTATTACCAAATCAAATTATAAATAAAATTGGGATTATTACATACTTGTCTCTATCGTTCAAACTTTTTTAATTTTTTTGGTAATTAGAGATGTTTGTAATGGCTTAAGTCCACTACTAGTAGAGAGAAATTTCTACCCCTTTCGAGGCCCAGTGTTCTCGCTGACACTCGTTCCCTTCTCCAATCGATCTAGGACTCTCGATCCATCTCCTTTGGAGTCAGGGTTCGTGCTGACACAATGTGAGACCCTTCACAATCCATCTCCATTCAAGGTCAAACATCCTTGCTGACACACCATCTTTCGAGGTTTTGCCTCCTCGCTCACACATTGCCTAATGTCTACCTCTAATATCATTTGTAACTACTCAAGCCCATTTCTAACCGATATTGTTCTCTTTGGGCTTTCTGCTTTCATACATTTAAATAATGTTAAATATGTTTAATTTTTATACTCAAAGTAGAGTGGAGCAAAGTTAGGTTGTAACATTATTTTCAGGTTAGTTAGTTTGACCTGACTAGAAAATGTCAACCGGTAAAAAAAAAACAGCTACAACGTTTAAGTTGGGAGGTGGTAAGTCATGTTAAATTACAATTTTGTCCTTAACTACAATTTTTCTACCGACCTTATTTACCTACCCAAATTTCCACGTAAGCAGCTAACAATGAATTGACCAAGTCAAGTATTGCCAAAGTTGACTTGAAAGTCGTTAAGTCAAAAGATTTCTACGAGAACCAATAAATGAAAATTAATACGAAGGGTATACCTTTACTAAATTTAGATGGGGTTAATTCAAAATTTCATTTCAATTTTCTACCCTTATTAATATTATTGGGCCCTTCATTGTTTTGGAGAACATTTTTGAAACATTAATATTTTTATCTAAAAATTAGGATGCAGTCTCTCCCCAATATCTTATAATCTCTGCTCAATTAGTGTTAATAAATAGTAAAAGTATTGAAATAAAGTCTTGAAATAATAATTTTGATAAAATTAATTTTGAAATAAATTATTTTCGTAGTAATTTATGTATAAATTTATATCATGGATTTTAGTAATAATTTGTGCACCATTTATTTGGCATAAAAAATTAATAAAATGTGTTAACTTTATTTAATTTATCATCTATACTTGAGTAACTTTACACCATTTTAATAATATAAATTATTATAAATTTAGGAGTATTGAGACTAAAGTAAGATAATTAAATTTCAAAATTTTGGGCTAGAAATAGTGTTAATAAATTTTATTAATACATTTATATTTTTTAACTCGGGAATATTTTTTTAATCCGCTTATTTTATTTATCAAACTCTAAAACTTTATCTTTTTTTTTTTTTTTTTTTTTTTTTTTTTTTTTTTTTTTTTTTTTTTTTTTTTTTTTTTTTTTTTTTTTTTTTTTTTTTTTTGTGTTTAGATATTTATTGTGAAATAGTGTTTTTATTTTAAAACTTGATTTATTATTAAATATAAATATAAATTTTATATTTAATAAATATTTAAAAGTTTTAATTTCATTCAATTATTAGGGTTTAAATCGTCTCAATTCCCCAATTTATTTTGAACCCGGAATTTCTATTTCTTCTTCTTCTTCTTCCTCCTCAATCGGTACTCTTTCTTCCCAAAATTTCTTTTGCTGCCTAGTTTTTGCACCAAATCTCATTGACGCCGGCCACCGGCCACCGGCGGTACAGTCTCCCCCGACCATATATCTTTGTAAGTTCTTCATTTTCCAAATGTTTCCTCTCTTCCCCTAAATGGGGGATTTTCGCGAACAATACGTTAAATTACTAATGTTTTTAGAGTAATCGGCAGAAGGATCCAGTAAGTCATAGAAAACTAGACGCGAGGGATCGGAAGTAATGGCAAGCGCTCCTGCTCAAATTCCTACCAGTTTCGGGCACGAGCTCAGAGCTTGTCTTCGTTGTCGACTCGTCAAAACTTACGATCAGGTGAGCTGCAGTCTCCTATTTTCGAGCTTGGGATGTCATTATGAATGCTTGAATTGAATCTTTAGTTGTTCAAGATCTTTGAAATTTTTGAACTTTTTGTTGTATTGAGTATTGATCATGTATACAGTTTCGTGAATCGGGCTGTGAGAATTGTCCCTTCTTCAAGATGGACGAAGACCACGAGCGTGTTGTAGAGTGCACTACTCCTAATTTTAATGGGTTTGTAAAATATTCTTCGCCTGTAGTCTTTTTTGGTTGTGTTGGTGTTTGTCTCTTTTTATTTTTTATTTTTGGTAACTAGTTTGCTTCCATCGTGCCTTTGATTGAAGTTTGGACATGATATATAATTTCATTTGTTTCAATGGACATATTCAAATCTTTTTCATGGAATTTTTATAGATTCAATCGATATTAAAAGAAGTTATCAGCTTATGATCATGATTCTATATTACTGTCTAATTCACTTCCACTTCTTGTACCCTTTTGAATCAATCGCAGGATAATTTCTGTCATGGATCCTGCCAGAAGTTGGGCTGCTAGATGGCTGCGAATTGGTAAAGCTAACTATTACGCCCCTCCCATTAATGTTTGGAACTAAAGAATTAATACTTGCTGTATCATTACCTTGAAGACAAAAAAACCTACGACACATGAACACCGATATTAATTGGAATCCTTAGTGTATTATTTTCAAAAAAACAAATTTCTCTTTTAGAAAGAGAAGAAATGGATTACCACGGGAATTCCTTTATTTGATTGGAACTAATATTTTCTGCTATTGCAGGAAGATTTGCCCCTGGTTGTTATACTCTAGCAGTCTCAGAGGCCCTCCCTGAGGATTTGCAGGTTTGCAATCATTAAGTAGCATATTTGTTTACGTGTTCTGTTCTTCTGTGTTTATCATCTACCAGAGCCATCTGGAAAATCCATGCCCACTGGTTGGTTGTTTTAGTCAAGGACTTCTCATTTGATCTTTAATCCTTTATTTCTGTGTGTGTGTGTGTGTGTCCTTTTCTTTGATTCTTTGGGTTGTGGAAGTGTGACCTAAAAATAAATTCAGTGACTTCTCTTGTCCGTAACTTCAAAAACTAAAAATCATGATTGGCACCTTTAGTGAAGGTTAGCAAATCCCTGGAGAGGCTTTTGCGCATTTTTTTTATGGAAAGGGGTGGAGGAAGGAAAAGTGTAGTATTTAGTGAATTGGGAGGTGGTGGCTAGACTAGTGGAGTTCAGGGGCTAGGTATAGGGAATTTAAAGGCACATAACAAGGCCTTGCTTGCTAAATGGTTGTGTCACTTTCCTTGGAGCCAGATACTTATGGCGTAAGGTTCACCCTTTGAATGGCTATCAAAAGGGTCTCGAGAGATCTTGCTAGGAGTCTTTGGAAAGCTATTTCTAATGAGCCCCATTTGTTCTCTCAGTTTGTTCATTGTATAGTGGGCAATAGGGTGGATGCCTATTTTTGGGAAGATAAAGCTGTTGGGGGATACACCCCTCTGCTCTTTGTTTCCTTGTCTTTACCATTTGTCTGCCTTGAAATTTCCTCTAAGGCGTCCATTCTTCCCTCTTTTAGGGATTTCTCGCCAAGTAGGAAGCAAAAGAAAAAAAGAAAGCTTGCGACTCCACTTCCATTCCCTTCTTGCAGTCTCTCCTTTTTGGATTGCATGGGCTTTGTTGTATCCAAAATTATTGATAATGTAGCAGCAAGTATTCCTCTCAAGAGGGTATTACCGAAGTGGGAGTGCGTAGTAGCTTGACAAGTCCTATACCCCTTCCTCACGAGGGCGTGGAAGGAACTTTTTTGAAGCCCCCATCCGTTAATACTCACAATCTAGCTAATAAATGCATGAACATAAACTTTTTGGTGTCATATTTAGTACGTCAAAATGCAAAACATGAACCACCAAAACGTTTCATTTTACTCTGGTTGTCTCAGTTGGTGAACGACTTTGTAAGGTTCTTCTTCTTATATGATCTTCACACTTGTTTTCTGCAGAATATATGTGAAGAGGAGCGCGTGCAATATGCACCACCAAAACGTGTTTGACCCTACATTATCTCTAGCTTATCCTGATTTCGGAGAGTTCCACCTCGTTCTTGCAGTAGTATTTTAAGTCGAACTAGCGTTTAGCATTCGATGTCTTTTGGTTGAAATGAACAGAAGTATAGTTGCTAACACCTTGTATTGTACATCTTAATCTGCTTCCCCTTGTGCTTCCTTTTATTGCCTATACTCGCGAGTGGAAGAAGTTGAATTTGAGTTGCCTAGAACAATGCCGGTTTAGCCAAACACTGCTAGGTTATTGCTGTTGGTTGTTCAAGGAGAAAACATTTTAGCCCCCACCTCGAGTTCACATGCTCCGGTGGGATGACTTTGATAATCACTTTTGTGGTTCTCAATCGGGATGGACGAAAAAGTGATGGAATACATGTGCTCACTTTTTAGTACCCCTAATACATATGCTATGCAATGCTTCTTCAAGCGGATGTTAGGCTGATGAAAAGGCTTGATGATAAAAAGAAAAAAATTTAATAAAGTTGAACCTGAAAAGTAAAAGAAAAATATCCATTTTTGTTCTTCAATATATGCTTTTTGTTTAAATTAGTTAGTTAATTTAATGAAATTAAACATTGTTTTACACCATGTCAATTGAACATTAAAAAAAAAATTGAGATTATAAAACACTTTTTCTCAATTTAGTCTTAATTTTTAATTAGTTTATGTTATAGCAAATATTGTTTCGTTGGGTGTTTATCGTTCTTTACGGTTTTATAAAACGCTAGATTTTTTTTTTAAAATTTTATAAAATGCATCTACGAGAGAGATAATAGAACATGATGATTTAATCTCAGCAATTAACTTTAGGATAAAAGAAGATTTTCTGACCAAATTAGAAGAAAATACATTGGCAGAAAAGTGATTTTTTAACAAGCGACGCTTCCGAATCTCCTAAACTCTAAACCTAACGCGCCTTTGTCTCTCTCACTTTCAGTTCGTATCCCTTTCCTCGACTTCGTAGTTTCTTTCAATAATCTCATACATTTCTGAATTGCTTCGTTGTTTGTCCACAATCTACTTTCAGCTTATGGTTACTCAGTTTTCAAATTGAGTGTCGAAGTTATTCCGTAATTAAGGACTTGAAGCTGCTATATCCTCGCCAATAATGGCGGATTCTATTTGCAGAGCACTTAGAGACGGTGCGTTAGAGGGAGAGCTCGCGCCTGCTCTCACCTTAAAGGACTCCATCAATTCGCCATTCGGTTTTCACGCATTTGCCCACGTTTTGATGCAGCTTTCGAGCAATATTTTGGCGGGTAAATCGCAGTCTCGGTTAGTTTAATTCCCTTTTAGAGATGTCATTTAGGAGATTGAAATTGTTCGGCTTTGGCAGTCGTTTTGACTCTTTCTTTGGTGGTGCGATTTTGATCTCAGAGGTCTCGTTTTGCTTGCGTTCTCTCGAAGTCCAGCGTATTACCTCGAGCTGTTGAAGAAGAGTGGGGGGAACGTGGGATCGTCTGAAAAATGGTGAAGTTCTCTTTGCAAATTCTTGCACCTGTGCCTTTTTTTATAGTTCAATTTCTGTGAGAGTGCCGGGGTTACTAGGGAAGAAACGCTTGTTAATTAGTTTAGTGAATGCACATCAAATTATACAAAATACCTATGAAGTTTCAAGTTCAGGGTGGGTTTCAATTATGCCTTTAAACTTGGTAAAGTTTCATTGTTTACCTTTGAACTTTGAAATTCATTCCAAAAATTACTATATTGAAGATTAAGATTGTAAAATATTACATAATCATTTTTTAGACATCACCTGCCACATTAATTTACAGAAATAATATTGCAAATGATGTCATATATGCCTTATGATTTTTACACATTAGCTGTCTATCAATTTCCATCTTGTTTTAATGAAAAGAAAAAACTCGCAAAGTTGGAAGGTATTTTGTGTAGTTTAACATAATTTTGTCAATATCTTCTTAACATTCCCTCTTAATTTCAGGTTTAGAAAATAGTATAAGGCGATACTCAGCTAGTAGATTATCGATATTAATATTAATTTTGGTGAAAATGACGCTACAAAGTAGCTAGCATATTTCTCACCATGAGGGATGGAATGAGTCTTGTATTCTTCAGATTGACTTGAATTTATCATTAGATAAAAGGCATACTCTTTCATATTTCGTATCAATGATTTCTTTTTTGGTTTACTGTTATTTTTTATGTGCAAGTTCAATTGACTATTTTTGTGTTATAGGATTCAAATTTTGGACTGTTATACAGATCCTCTTGGTTGGAAGGAACGGTTTACGGGGGGTGAAAAAATTTCAAATGTTCACCAAGAAGTTTCAAATTTATCTCATCTTTGTACAAATGTGAGGGATATGGATAATCTATTCTCATCAATTATTACGCTTGGAAAAGGTATGACTATAATCTTGATTGAGAATATAGCGTAGTGATTTTCTGGGCTTATTTTGCAAGAAAAAGGTCACAAGTTAAACTCTAATGTTCTAGCAGGATTTGTTGGAGAAGGAACTGTACGCTTTTGTGTTGCCATAGACTCAGTATGTTCTCTCCCTCTTTGGTACCATTCAAGGAACCACTTATTGTTAGTATTAACTATGAGCAGACTTGAGTCCCACAGTCTCTTATATTCTTTTCTTGTGTATAGTACCTATTGAATATAATTAAGAATACCAAACTGTCCAGGCGTATTCTCCTTTATCAAACCATCCAGATAATTTATTTTCTCCTGCATATTACTCATTAAATATAGTTAACATCTTGAGACTATCAAATTGTCAAAGAGTATTCTCCTTTCTGGGTTCTATGTTGAAAGTTGATACTTCCTTTCTTCGTTGAGGTGTGGCAGCAAGAAATGCATATAAACAATGTGAATCATCAGTTGGTCAGATTCCATAGGGATAAGCTCCACTCTTGTTTATAGTTGTTTTGTAACAGTCCAAGCCCACCGCTAGACGATATTGTTCTCTTTGGGCTGTTCTTTCGAGCTTCCTCTAAAGGTTTTTTAAAACGCATCTACTAGGGAAAGGTTTCCACACCCGTATAGATGCTTCGTTTTCATCCCCAACCGATGTAGGATCTCACAATCCACCCTCTTTTAGGGCCCAGCTCCTTACTGGTACACTGCCTCGTGTAAACCTCCTTCAAAGTTTAGCCTCCTAGCTGGCACATCGCCCGGTGTCTAGTTCTGATACCATTTGTAATGACTCGCTCACTGCTAATAGATATTGTTCTCTTTGGGATTTCCCTTTCGAGCTTCCCCGAAAGGTTTTTTAAAACGCGTTTACTAGGGAGAGGTTTCCACACCCTTAATAAAAAATGTTTTGTTCTCCTCCTCAACCGACGTGGGATCTCACTTGTTATTTTTGCTCTTTTCTTTATTTCCATTCACTACTAATTTGAATGTTGTTGCTTTTATTTTCTCATTTTTATTTAATCTTCTGAAATTTTACTAGGTAACCGATATGTTAAGGCATTCTTCTACATCAGCAGTTGCAGGTCTTTTAAGCAACTTTCGGAGCAATGGTATGGATATGATACGATATATTACCTCTGAAATTTTCACTGCTTAGATAAATCAAATCTTATGAGTTATGATTAATAGTTCACTTGATAGGATAGCTCTTATTTAATGGCATGGATATGATATGATATGATATATTAATCCTGTTTGAACTGTTTACTTGTGATTTTAGATAAGGTTTCAAGTACATTTTGGTTGGTACATGAAGACCTTCACGAGGAAAAGGTCATAGCTGCTCTTGAATATATGTCTTCAATGGTGGCCACAGTTGAGCCATTAACTCCATCCCCATATGTGTGCGAAAGCAGTCTGAACACTCCCTATCTTGAACACAGCTCTACTAAAGGGAGGTTTCATGTGCGGATTAAACGCAGAAATGGACGCGTGCGAGTCATTGTAAAATCTGTTCTTTTGCAAAACTTTTGGTATTTACTTTTGAAATTCACGGTTATAACCATAGATTCTTGATGTTCAATGTTTAGTGTGAAAATTTTAAAGTTGAGCAGTCGGGCATCAAATTTACGTCCATTTCATCTGAAGATGCAGTCGTCAATCAAGGGCTTGTACCGAAGGTTAGTTATCTTGATTTTGGCCTCTTTCATTGTTTCCCAATATTGGACTCTTAAAAATTTGGATTTACCAAAATTGAATTTTATGGTACAAGGAATCATTTTCTTCTTAGGTTTAGGGTTTGTTTGGAATACCTTCTAGTTTAAGCATTTTTTAGAAACGTATTTTTATATCTTACATTTTTTTTTTTATGAAAATATGTTTTTTTTTCTTATGGTATATTTTGAAGATTTTCGGTTAATCACTTTAAAATCATTTTTGGATAATCTATGTTTAAATGTTTCTTCAAAATAGATTTTTAATTAATCTAATTTCTTAAATGCTTCTTCTTTATTAAAATTTTTCTAAAAAATACTTTTATTCTTCTAAAATCATTCAAAAAGTCACACTAATCATACTTTAAATTAGTAGTTTTTGCAAAGATGCTCATAGAAAAATTGATTTTGTTAAAAAAAAAAAAACTTATTTTTTTCCAAAGTTATTCCAAATGTACTTTGCATCCAAGTTTGAATACACAAGCATGAGGATCTACTCTTGATATGTCTGATCTTTCCCCAACTAGTACAGTGATAGACCCTGAGTCACTATGGTCAATACACGTAGGATTACGAAATAGAAAATAGGGGAGACGAATGATATTGTATGTGAGAAGTCAGCGTGGGCGTGTGTTGCTGTGATTTTGTACGCTCATGTGCTCCTGTTCGTATGTTGCTGAACGTTTTGTTGTATAAGGATAGTCTTTTAAGGGCATTCCGGAGGGAAGGCGAATGTATGCTTTTGGTATTTTGTTTTAGGACTCGTAATTCCAGTGTTCTTGGAGTTAGGGGAGCCCTCGAATTGAATCTCCCTTGGCTGTTGCCATAAATCATTAGTCATTTGAACTTTTTTCTCATAAATTTTCATGAATGAAAAACTGATGAATGGACTACATTTCTTCTCTCAGGTGCAGTTCAATCTTCAGTTGTCTGAGAAAGAGCAAATTGACAGGGCTAGAGTTGTTCTTCCTTTCGAGCATCAAGGTTCGGATTGTCAATGCCCAATCTTTGCACATTGCAAAATAATTCCAACCTGATTTGATCCTATTATCCAGGCAGTAAGAGTCTTGACTAACGGTTCTTTATTGCTTGCACAACGTCGACTTTTATTATAGGAAATGGTAAACCGATACAAATATACGATGGTCGAAGATCTCTTACAGACAGCAAAGATGACGACAAACCTCTCTCGACCAGTGAGAAAAGCAAGGATGAAGGAGCAGGGAAGGGAGAGATCATATATTTTCGCGATTCAGAAGACGAGATGCCAGATTCCGATGAGGACCCTGATGATGATTTAGACATATAATTTTGAATGAAGGTAGAAGATTTGTATCATATCTATCTTTTCCGAGATCACTTCAAATTGTTGCTCTCCATTTTATGTGGAACAATGTGTGGAGTAGCAACCCAGACGTGACGACAAAATACGAACATTACCATTACCAGTTTGTTTCGTCTTTGGGATGATTTTTAGGACTGAATTATTCTACAGAGTTTGTTAATTGTTTCCCATGAACCTCTTACAGTTCCATTTTTTTCTTTTTCAAAGGCTGAAAAGGGTGTGAGTAAAAGATATTTAAAAAAGAAAAGAAAGAGATAATAAAAACTAAATAGGAGAACCAATCTATTTGGACCATTTTATCTTTCTTTTCTTTTGCTTTATATGTCCATATTCTGCTTGGAAAGCAACTGTTGGGCTCATTTTTGCTATACATTTATTGTATATATTTGTGAATGATACAAAATTCCACTGTCAATTGGACCATTTTTTTTCATTCTTGTCATTGAAATGCTTTGGATTATTCCATTAGAGAGAATATTCACTTTTTGCCTATCATGTTTATGCTTCACTAAAAGTCTCGTTAGAACGGCAGCCTGCTGCTGGCTTAGTTCTTGACGGCAATAGTGCTATCAATGCCAGAAGCCTTGCATCAAGCTCGGTAGCCAACCGCCCCGATTCCATCCGAAACTCTTAGCAAATCTTTGATAGTTATTAAAGTAAAGAGGTTCAAATGTTAGTATTTGATCTTTTTTTCTTTTTAATGATTATAAATGATTTATTTGATCCAAACGATTGCTTGCTTGGCGGCACCGACAATAGTCCCATTATATGATGGGAAAATGTAAGAAATTAAAATAAAGAAAGAAATTAACAAAAAGGAACCAATGGAAGGTCGAGTTTCCAAAGATATGATACTCGCAGCGCGTAGATTCGAGCAAAAGAGGATCGTGATTTTGGAAAAAGGTTTGAAAATGGGGTTCCCAATGTGCCAGGGCTGGCGACGTAGACTCAACGGTGTTCGTATCACATAATTCAACTAAATATTTTTTATTATCCTTTTTTTATTTTTTACTTTTGGATAAATATAACCTTTTTCTTATTTATTGAACAGATTTATGGTACATAAATTAAGAAAAAGGATACAATTTATGAAATTGAAAATTAAAAAATAAAATAAGCTGAAGAGTATATTTTTAATCTTTTTAATATTATCCGACGTGTCGTCTCTGTAGTTCCACTTCTCCGCGCGTGGCCTTTCCAAACGTCCTGCAGCCTCTGCAAATCCCTCCCTCTCTCTCTCTCTCTCTCTCTCTCTCTATCAGTCGGGTTTTACAGAAGAGAGAGAGAGAGAGAAGATCAGTGGCATCGCCTCGAGCAGCTTCATTTTCTTGGTTATCGTGGTTACACGACGTCGTTCTGGCCGGTTCTATCCCTTTTTTCCGTTTCCGTTTCGCGGTTTCTGTGCTTCTTCCTGTTCTGTTTCCATTTTTCTTCTTTGATTCTCCTTGTGCTCGCTTCTTTGGCTCTGTTAACATTGTGAACCGTGTTGGCTGATTCTGAATTTGTGTTCTTCCTGGCCTTTGCGTGTCGAAGATGATGTGCCTCCCTGACTCAGAAACTGGGTCAGAACGACTCAGGGGAATTACCGATTGGGGGCTGTTTTTTGTGGTTTTGGCTTTGTCACTTCGTCGTCCTCTGCTGTCTGCCTCTTCCACTTTAACTTTCAATTCTCAGTCCACTTTTTGATTTCTCTGAAACTCCCTCCTGCGATTCTTTGTTTTCTTGTCTGCAGGTCCCATTTCTCAATTATTGTACCCCTTTCCATTTTTTCTCACCCTCTTTCTTTTGCTTTCCTCATAATCTTCCATTTGCCGCTTGTTTTGTATTGTTTCTGTGAACCTGTTTTATTGAGCAACATGCCCATTTTTGTACGCCCTTCCTGTTTGAAGGGTTAGAGTGAGTTCTTGGGATTGTTTGAAGAATGAAGAACTTCTTGGATGAACTAGGCCAGGTGGGTTGTGAGATTGAGGAGGGATTTTCTTGGTAGACTGAAGAACATCAAGTCAAGAGCTGGGGGTTCTGACTCTGTTAGAGATTAATGGAAAATACAGGAAGAACATCGTCATGTTTAGCTATTTCAGAGAAGAAGACACAGAAGCCTGGTGGGTGTATTGGCATTTTCTCCCAGCTCCTTGATTGGAACAGGAGATTGGCTAAGAAAAAGTTCTTCTCCATGAAATTGCTTCCTCCAGGTTATCTTTCTTTGCTCTGTCTAGCAGATACTCAGCTTAAATTTTCCCATTTTGCTTTCTAGCTTGAAGTTTAAACTTGATTCTATTATGTTTCACTAGCTCGTTCAAAACAAGCAACCAAGAAATTCAAAGGAGGTGATAAGATGCTGGCTTCCAAGAATCATTTGGTATTTACTTGTATTCTCAGCCCTTTCTTTTTGATACTTTGTGAAATTGTTGTGTTCTTTAGCTTATTTGTTTGCTCTTTTCCCCGGATATCGTGCTTTCGTCGAGAAATAGATTGCCGATGAAAATAGAGGCGGTTTCCCAAATGTCATGAAGAATGGAAACCACTGTACTGATAGAGAACACATGAATGAAATGCGAGCACCTGGTCTGGTTGCAAGACTCATGGGGCTTGAATCCATGCCTGTTATGATTCGAGATAGGCCAAAGAAAACTGATTCTTCTAATCCTTGTGATAATGTGGAAAAGAAAATAGTTCAGGATTTGAATTTGGGAAACCCCCCAAGTGCAAAAATTGAAGCAAGGCCTCTAAAGCTTCGAAAAACTGGGCTGGAGGAGGGAAAGGTGATGAGACGGATAGGCGCTGAGGTAATGCAGTATAAGAGTGTTATGTCACGATCGAGGAAGCGTCTTCCTCCTCCAAAGTTTCTTTCATCAGCCAAAAGTCCAAGGCTTCCCTCGGGGAGGAACGCCTCGAAAGCATCCCGGTTAATTGATGTTGCTAGTAAAATATTGGAGCCTGGCCTGCTGGCATCAAACAGAGCAAAATCTGCTATCACTCTTCCTAAGTCTATGCATTGTTCTCCTAATAAGGTTACATCGAGGGACGTTGGAGTTGTGCCATTGGAAGGTTGTGATTCGTCGAAAACCTTCATCGGACATACGTCGTGTAAAAATTGTTGTACATTGCTGAAAGTTAATGTCTTCAATCAAAGTGTGGAAGAATATCCATCTGCAAATCCACCCCTCAGTTCAACTTATGGTAATGCCTGTTTGCAGGAATCAAGGAGTAAAGCAATAACCCTTGAATTACCCCTCCAGCAACAAAGAACACCTCTGATCAAACATAATGAATCTGAGGGCTGTATAATATCCCGTGTCGATTCTGTTGTAGAAAGAATGCCTCTGCACAATGAATCTTCATTCTCATTGTCCAGACCGTCCAGCCAACAATTCAAGCTTGGGAAAAATGAATCATCTATTGTCAAGCATCACAATCGATCTGAAGATCATATGACATCGGTCAGGGATAGGATGTTACCGAAGTCGAAGTCGAGTATTCCACAGAGCAGAAGAACCACATCGCCTGCAAATGCTGTTGCTGGGACCAAAAATTTTGTTTCGTTAAATCGAAATCTTAATGGCTGCAACAGAGGGAAGCTACCTTCTAAGGTGGAAAATTCTAAGTTTGGCCTAGAAAAGAGGTCTTTTAATGGAGGTGAAGATTTCTCATCTCAGGCAGGTACCTCACCAAGGAAAAGGAGGACTACACACTTAAGTGGGCGAATCGAAAGCAAAGCTTCTGTTGATTCACCTGCTGCAAAACAACGATCCCCTCAGTTTGATCAATTGTCTAGAACAAGTTCAAGGCTCGAACGCAAAACTCTCCCTACAAAACAGCCATGTGCCAGTACTAGATCATCATGTCGTAGAGACGCTGCTGATAGAGTTTGCAAAAGGAACAACGACATTGCTTCGTTCATCATTAATTCGCCCGTTAGGCCGAATACTGCAGTTTCAACAGAGATGAATGTGAGTGTGGGAAATGAGAGAAATATGTCTTCCCAAAAGCCATCCTTGTTAGGAGGAGATGCCTTAGATATCCTGGAACAAAAACTAAAGGAATTAACTTCTCAAGGAGATGACGAGTTGGTATTGAAGAAACCCACTTCTATAATCATTCAGGAACTGATAGCTGCTGTAGAAGCTGCTCGGAAAGTTTCCTCAGAGGGTTCTGCTGTCAATATGGATGTAACATCCTGTGTAAGAAGCCTTTCTATTTATCTTATGATTGTTTCCTATATATATTATATGTTGCTTACTATGTCTTCGTCTATTTCTGCCTTTCCAGGATGATTCGAATGAAGAAAGTCTCACAAAAACATCCGATGGGCGAGATCGTCTTAGCCCTGGTTCCATTCTCGAAGCTTCATTCTCATCCAGTAGCATGGATGAGAGCTCAGGTTAGAAGTTTGGTATATCTGATAATACAAAACTCACAAGAGTGAAATTATGTTTATCCAAAATGCTAAATCTCCTCTGCTCTTTGTAAAAGCCTCCATGTGACTGAGAATAATTAGTTATGCCATCCCTTTTCATCACAGGATGTAGACTGCCAGCCGAGTCCGTTTATTGTTCTATCGATCAGTCGCAACTGTCTGAACCCGAAACTGATCTTTTCGATTCTGCAAACTCTTTGAGCGAGGGGAAGGTTGGGAGCGAAAGCTACAACCTTACCGGTGTAAGATTGGCAAGTAGTAAGCTTGCTCATGCAAACGAGGTTATGCTGAACGCCAAAATTTTATTTGGCAAGGAAGAAGACAACCTTTTCATCGACGAACTGAATACATTCATGTGCGAAACGTGGACGAACTTCAGTGATGTCAACAAGGAGGTAAACCATCAAAGAGGGTTTCTTTTCGACTGCTTGATAGAATACTTCGACTCGAAACATAGCCAGCTCTACTACTGCAGACCCAACACTTGGATAAGAACGTCCCCAGCAGCTCCAAACGCAAGAACATTAATCCAGGACATCAAGAAGGAGATCAAAAAATGGGGAGATTTTGTTGGGATGATGACCGATGAGATAGTAGAATGGGAAATGAGTAATTCCTTGGGGAAATGGAGTGATTTTAGCATTGAAGAACTGGAGAGTGGCGCTGAAATTGCTGGGGACATACTTAAAATATTGGTTGAGGACACTGTAACAGAGCTTTGGGAGTGCAGAAATGGCTGATTTTTTGTGTACAAAATGGATTAAGGTTAAAAGTGTTCATTGTTCTTGACTAACCTTGTAAACAGGCTTTGCTAATTGCTCAAAACTCCCTAATCTTTGCAGCAATTGTTGTTAATATTTGTTTTGGTTATCATATTAATATTTAATTGAAGTAAATCTGTTACTATAATCTTTGCAGCAATTGTTCTTCCCCTCATTCATTATTTTCACAAATCCAAATTATCCATTACAATAAAAGAATTAAAAATACCCTCAAAATCCAATCAAAGCAACAAAATTTAAAAGAAAGTGGAAGAACATTAACAAAAGCAGATCTTCTCAGCCAGTTCTTGTTTCTTTCAAATCTGTCTAACACCCAATACAGTCTTCCCTCTCCTTCCACCTCCTCTCTTGTTTTCACCGTTAATGGCGTTTGCCGCCGCAGTGGAAAACCCCTTCAGCTCCTCAAATCCAGCGTAGCTCTTCCTCGCCGCCGCCAACCCTCCGCCCCTTTTCTCCCCTGCACTCGCTGACTTACTCCCCCTCGAATTCGCCGATATCCCTCCAATGTTATTCTTCCCCCACGTCTTCCCTGGCGGTGTCATCTCCATCACCGGCGATAACCCCGGCGGTGGCCTTTTGTTCTCCTTCCTCAATACAGAAGAGAAATCCGGCACCGATTGCGCTACTGTTGCCGACCTTTTCCGAACGGTCTCCGAACCCACGAATCTCACTTGCTTCTTCGCCGGTGGCGTGGATTTCTCGGGCTGTTCGCCGTCACGGTACATGGAGTTTCTCAATCGGAGCTTGGATTCTCTAAGCTCTGCATAGGCTCTGTACCTTGGTCCTCTTTCCATGGAAAAAGTCTCCGCGGTGAGCTGGAGAGGAAAGTAGTGGTGGGTGGCGGAGTTCTGGTGGAGGAGGAGGGATCTGGGGTCGATGGAATGAAAGGGGAGATGGGTTTGGGTCAGATGATCGAAATTGTCCGCCATTGTTGAGGGTTGAGGAAGCTCTGTGTGCGTTTTGTTTGAATGAAGTGAAGAGGGAAGAGATGATTAAAAGGTAAGTCTTTTGTGAGGTTTGAAAAAAGGGTAACTTGGTTCCTCAACGGTCTGAAATAGAGACAGGGAAAAGATCGTGTGCTTTCGATTCTACTTTACAATACTTCTCTAACGTTCTTCTAGTTGAGATGGGGACCCACTTTTCAGAATATTTGGTCAAAGTTTGAATCTTGATTGGTTCATTGATTTGGCTGCGAGATGATAGGAACCTTGAATTTTTCTTTTTTTAAAAAATAAATAAATCATTTTCTTTTTTTGAAAATTTGAAAATAGTATTAAATTTTGTGTTATTATTATTATTTTTTTCTTTTTGATAATATTTTTGCATAGAACGTTATAGATGAAAATTATATCTAGTGGTGTATACGGTGTCATCTTAAGTTATATGTAACTCGAGCATAATTAAGTTAAGATAATATACCTTATTCTTAATATTATAGGTGAGAATTGTTCGAATCCTCACGGTCGATGCAACCAAGATTTCGATGCATTTTATTTGTCATTTGAATCATCTAAAGATTTCATATTCATAAGATCATCAATACCCCGACCTTCATTTTGTCTATTTCATTTCTGATTTTCTCATCTACATCGATGAACAGTCAATCATTCTATTGTAATAAGCTCAAATTTGATTATCTTTACAATATGATCAAAACAAAAACAATTCTTTTCCCCATAGGATCAAACCTTGTGATACTTGTATTTCTGGGTCAAGTTGAATCTGTCGACTCCTTTGCTGAATCCTTTCAGTGCAAGGGTTCTCACTGCCTCAACCCCTTGTTCTAGTGCTGCATCAATCTGTTTGGGTAGTTCGATTCGTTTATTTTAAATATGATGATATGAAAACCGAATTCGAAAAAGAGGAAAAAAAAAAAAGTACTTTCCGAGTTACAACTTATGACGTAAAGAAAAATGAAACTGCATTAGAATGCGAAGGCGACTACTCACCTGTTTTCGCTCAACTGAACTGAACTTCTGCAGGAGAAAAGCTTTCATGTCCATAGTCCCAGGTGGGTTCCCAATTCCTAGATTTACAAGAGCAATGTAGTTTTTTTACACTTGCTGAAGTAGAAACTTAACGAACGTTTTCGAACTAATGTTAACAAAAATACATACCGATGCATAACCGAGGAAACTCGCGTCGGCCATCCAGATGTCCCATTACACTCTTCACCCTGTATAACTAGAGAAATCAATAACAGCTTTTTATGCACATGCTGCCATAAATTTCTCAACAATAATGAAAGCCTACCAAGTTAAATGACGAGAAAAAAAATGCATGTGTCATCCTCCTAACTAGAAATTACCAATATGAAACATGAGCATCAAGTATTCAATGGGAAGAAGTGAGGTATTGGATGAAAAACATGCGGTGTTTGATCCTAGGTTAAGGTGGTCATCACGAATTGAACTCATTCTGTGACAAGCCCAAGACCACTGCTAGTAGATATTGTCCTCTTTGAGCTTTCCCTTTCGAGCTTTCTCCTCTGGAGCTTAGTCTCCTTGCTGGCACATCACTCGATGTCTATCTCTAATACCATTTATAATGACCTAAGCCCACCACTAGCAGATATTGTCTTCTTTGAGCTTTCCCTTGAGGGGAGTCTGCTAGGGGGAGGTTTCCACACTCTTATAAAAAATGTTTCGTTCTTCTCACCACCGATGTGGGATCTCACACATTCCCTCTAATTTCTTTACTATTCTCATGGCTCTACCTCTTCAAGAAGTACTTTCTTATGAAGCACTTTAAGTACTCCTTTTTTCCAAACATACTTTTAATTTTATGTTTTCCAAACATGATGATTTTTAATAGGGAGTCTTTTCAGTCATAAAGCACTCTAAAAATCATAACCTAACCATGTCAAGATTAGAAAAATTGAAAGCACGTATCAATTAAAACTAGAAAGAAAAAAAGAAAGAAAAAGGTGAGATCTAAACAAATATTTCATCGATATACCCGTTATGATGGCCGTGGCCTCCCTTTGGCTGGAGCCTAAGAACGCCATTTGGCAAGCTCATTTCATCATAAACCTACAATGGTAAGTGTGTACAGATACTTCCATTACAATCTAATCATTTTGTAAGCTAACAAATGAGGATTGCAAAGAGATATTGCAACTTATACCAACAAGATGTGACGTAAAGGTATTTGATAATGTACAGCAAGAGGTCCAACCTATAAAAATTTAAACAGAAAGTGAGGTGAAGAGATAACTGTCTCAAATATTATGAAAAAAATAATTCAACTAATGAATGAAAGATTCATAGAAGATATATAATTGGCACATTAACACTTAGAAACATAAGGGATCATCGATATGCAGGGTTCATAGGACACTCATGAGCTAAAAGATAGATTTAGCCAGTGAACAGGATGATTTCTAATTCTACAATACTATAGCATCATCTAACGGCAAATATGCATCTCTAGGGCAATAAACGGGTAATTAGAAAAATGAAAAATCGAAGTATCTCATGGAGATCTGTAATGGCCCAGTTCACCGCTAGCAGATATTGTCCTCTTTCGGCTTTCCCTTCGAGGACTTTCCCTCAAGGTTTTAAAACGCGTCTATTAGGGAGAGGTTTCACACCCTTACAAGGAATGCTTCGTTCCCCTCTCCAACCGATGTGGGATCTCACAATCTACCTCATTGGAGACTCAGCGTCCTCGCTAGCACACTGCCCGGTGTCTGACTTTGATACCGTTTGTAACGGCCCCAAGCCCACTACTAGCAGATATTGTCCTCATTGGACTTTCCCTTCAAGGTTTTAAAACGCATCCTACTAGGGAGAGGTTTCCACAACCTTATAAGGAATGTTTCATTCCCTTCTCCAACCGATGTGGGATCTCCCAACATCATCACTATGAAATCCTACCATCGGTTAACTTTGTGTTTCTCTCTAACTGCAGCATAGATACTGTGTCATTTTTTCAAAGGAAAACAAAAGAAATATCCATAGGAATTTAGGACCATGCAAGAACCTCAATGAACACCATATCCTTTGCTTCAAACTAAGTTTCATCCTTAAACTAGGGAAATAAACAAACCAACAGTCTACTCTATCCTGTATGGCATGTGTATTGAACAAAAGAAAAATTAAGAGACGAGTGACAAACCGATTCTCCACAGAAATTCATGTAAGTCTGAGGCTTTGCCAACAGAATTGGTACTTCTCCGATTGAACCTGCACTGATCATTCAAGAAAACTCAACGAACTTCAAATCTACCAGTATATGGAAATCCAATTCAATAACAAAAAGGGAGGAACAAAGGCCAACCTATTCCAATCAAGGCTTTGGATTGTATTGTGTTCATCAAAATGCCCTGCGCCTGAGCAATGCTATCGATCATTTCGAAACCAACCTAAGCAGGACAACCCCAAGAGTCACTAAGTTCCATTGCACATTAAGAGTGAGAGATTGGTAAGACTTTTTAGAATGACAAAACTACTACTAACCAATACTACATAACCAAAATTCATTAAGAGTGAGGCTTCCTACCAAAAGTGCTAGAAAAATATGCTTAATTGGGAGGTACTACTATCAAATTCCATTCCAAAATCACTCTAAAAGTTCAGTACAATGACTTAAAGAATGTTTTATTACATTGTGCCGAGTCCCATGGTACTTATTCCCTGGGTTACCCAGTCCAACAATAAGCCAAGGAGTATACTCCACTTTAACGCCATTATCATTATCTTGCAATGAAGCTCGTACAGAAAGCCTCGTCGGAACCAGACGCTTTGGGAATCTAGAAGGGAAATGGGCACTGCTCGAATTGGAAAATAAGCAAACACTTGGGACCGATGCTGCATATAACATTGAAACCTAGAACAAAATTGAGAAAACCCATACAGAATCATGTCATTTCATTGAATTTCTCCTGGCGAAGCGAAGCAAATTTTAGGAAATCGAAGAAGATAAAAAACTGAACCTGCGTGTAAATTGGATGGTTTGGTTGAAAGAGGAGTTGATTTGGCTGAACAGAAGCAGCTGTGGACGCTGTTAATGCCGTAGAAGAAGAAGACACCCTATCGTATTGTTCCGGAAGCTATTCTGGAAATTCAGCTGGAAAGCATTCGGGAAGGAGGGCGTTTCTGAATGGGTAATTAAAATAAAATAAAATAAACCGCGCTAAATTAATAAAAATATTATTAATTTTTTATTATCTAAAAAATACATTTAATATTAATTTTCGATAATTTCTTTGTTTTTATTAACACCCTTAATTTTTTAAAATAAAAAATAAAAATACCCCCAAACTTTTAAATTTTTATTTTTACTTCGAGGGTATAATTGACTTGACCTCCTCACTCACACGCACGAGTCTTCATTCTATGGACTACGATAGCTCCGATAGCTATAAATTTACATAAAAATTTAGTGGTCGAACTATACGCTTTATCGAAAATTAACACTAAAGAATTTGATAACAAAAATAAGATGTAAATATGAGATAAAAGTTAAAAATTAAATTCTATATTTTGAAAATTTATCTTCGGGGTAAAAATATGTTTAAAGTTTTCTCATGATCTCATTTGAACCTACATGTGAGATCCCACATTAGTTCGGGAGAAGAACGAAGCATTTTTTATAAGAGTGTGAAAATCTCAATAGACATATTTTAAAAACCTTGAAGGGAAGCTCGAAAGAAAAGTCCAAAGAAACTAATATCTACAAGTGGTGGGCTTGTGTTGTTACAAATGGTATTAAAGCTAGACATCAAACGATGTTCTAATGGGGAGGCTCAATCTCGAAGGGGTGCACACGAGGTGTTAGGCCCCAAAGGAAGTGAATTAGGGGATCTCACATCAATTGAAGAAAAAAACGTTGGAACCCAAAAGGAGAGTGGATTATGAGATCCCATATCGATTTGGGAGGAGAACCGCTCAACAATTTATTTATTAATTTATTTATTAATGGGAATAATGAGGTTGAAGATAGCATGGGTGCATGCAACATTAAATGATAATGCATTGGGTTGAGCGATGATAGGAATGTGAGCACTAAATAGAAATCATATGATTCAAAAGATTATAGTAAAATAAAAT